AATATTAAAAATAAAGAGATGGATAAAAGTACATTTCAGGGTTCCCACAACCACCTACATATTCAGTGATAAACTAGAAGGACTCACAGGACTTACAGGCCCCACTGTTCCCAGCTGTATTTTCCCTTCTATGAGTAGTCAAATAGAATACACTTCTTCCTTAAGGAGTGAAATGCAGCAGTACATGTGCAATGTTTCTGCCTAGGGAAGCCTGCTTAACAAGACCCAATTTGTTTCTGCTTTGAATTTTTTGTTAATATCATGTATTTTCATTAATGGAATGCATACTGAATCATTGAGTATGTTTGAATTTTTTTTAAGTACTATAGACATTTTTTCTTGCCTCTTCCCACAAATCCCACCCTCAGAGTTCTGTGGGACACATGTGTCCCGCTAATTCTGCCTCTCCCTGAGAGTCCAGTGGACATATGTGCCCCCAAATTTTTAATTAAAATTCATATTTTTAATACCCAAAATATTGATTCAGCACCACCTCATACAATACCATGTAAAAACAGTAATTTGCAGCACACACTTGTTTTTTTCCATTTCAAACTGTCATACAGGTCTCTGCATGCTGGCAGCACACACTATCAGTGGGAAAGCAACTTCCCAATAAACCCCAGAAGTGGAAAATATAGGTGGGTGATATATGTCCCCCAGGTCACAAAAGGGTTAAGACTCAAAGTCCAGAGATTTTATTGGGAGCTGGTCACATAGACAAAACAACCAACCACAGCTATCAAAATTTCAGACTCTCAGAAGAAAAGCAGGTGTTTAGTGCCACAGGTGGGCAAAACAGCCTTATTAATGTCGGAAACATTTGAAAGCCAAATTCCTAGACATCAGCCAAAGGTCAAACCCGCAAGCTGACCCTTCTAAAAATATTAACCTCAAATCTGCTATATTAACTGTTTCCTGTGCAGTCTGCCCTCCAGCCCTCAAAGTCCCTCCCTTTCCGACCCTGGCTTCAAGTATATTGTTGTTGTTGTGTGCCCATCAAGTCGATTCCATCTCCTAGTAATTACTAATTCTTTGATTTGGTAATGGACCATTAACTTTCTTCAATTATTTTTTAATATTCTTATATAGCTACAGAGATATCTAAGTTGTATTTTCTCTGGTTTTAAAGACTTTTCATGTCATATGTGGACCTGAAATACCTCTCATACTTTCGGCTGGCCCTATTGCCACAATTATAAAATCATGTAAATGAGCACTTCCTCTGAATTGTGCACATCTCCCTGTCTTTGAAAGACACCCTCTTTGAGCCCGCAAACCCACACCATACCTGTCTGTCAGGATTCTTAGCCGCAGACTACAGAACACACTCTTGCTAGTTTAAGGCTAGAAATATACTCTAGCTAGTTAAGGCCAGAAAGTGATCAATTGAGGGATATTAAACCTACAAACTCAGTGAAAGAATTGAAGGGAGCAGACTCTACATTGAAAACCTTACTGCTAAAATGGCATGCCAAGTGGGAAGTACCTGAGGCTGCTGTGATAAGGTAGCTGCAGAATTGGGAAATTGGTGCTGCTGCTGCCACTGCCAATACCACTACCACTATTGCAGTTTTCACCACCATCAAAACGCCCAACACCACAAGATGAAAACACCTCTGCAACTATGCTTATGAGAAGATCCAGCCTCCGCATTTGCTCTCTACCTCACCTGTTCATTTCCTCTTCCCAAGTCTTATGAGAACTGGTTCCATACAGGGACCTAGGTCACTAGAGGTAGCCTAGCTACAAAGGAATTTGGGACATGTAGTCTTTAGCTGTCTCACCCCACTACCCAGTGCCGTGGAGTCGATTCCAACTCATAGAGACCCGATAGAGTTTCCAAGGCTGTAAATCTCTATGAAAGTAGACTGCCACATCTTTCTCCCGCAGAGTCACTGGTGGTTTTGAGCCACCAACCTTTCGGTTAGCAGTCGCTTCAACCGCTGTGCCACCAGGGCTCCTTCTTTAGCTCTCTACTCTCTAAAATACAGGAAAGCACACTAGGAGAGAGCAGGAGTAGTGTTAATTGAGCCAAGCTGGAGTAACCACCACACATCATCCTTTAAGACCCAAATCAGCTATGCATAGTTTATGAAGTCTTCCTACCTTCAACTCCTATGGCCCTTAGGATTGGTATTACCCAGTTTAGCATGTAATTATATATTAAAATTTTCACTTTTTTTCATATTTGTCTTGTTTCTCCTATGAGGCAATAAATTTCCTGAGACAATACATCCTACTTAGATTCCTAATACCTAGCAGTTATTTACTGAGACGTAGCAGGTCCTCAGTAAATACTTGTTGACTCAGAGATGGTTTTATAGGTTGACTGGACTCAGCTGAGATGGTTCTCATTTTGTGTCTCTCAAGTGGTTGCAGTCAAATAACAACTGGAACTGGGATCATCTTGTGGCTCAACCAGGCTGGAAGTCCAAGATGGCTTCTGTACTCACATGTCCAGCCCCTCAGTGCTCCTCAGTATGGCCTTTCTCTCCAGTAGAGTAACTTAGATTTTTTATGTGATGGCTCAGGGCTCAGAGAGGAAAAGAGAAACTGCCAGTCTGCTTAAAGTTTAAGTCCAGAACTGGCACGGCATCTCTTCTGCATATTTCATTGGTCAAAACAGTGACAGACCACTCCCAAATTTAAGAAGGTAGAGAAATAGACTTCAGTTCTCAGTGTGGTAGTTGTATGGGCATGCAGGCAAGGAAGGAATTGATAGCACCCAACTTTGGAGATAAACTACCACAGAGGATTTTAATCTGTAGCATACCACACAGTTACTTATAGTGGACTGTACCAAGTCTGAAGACCTGAGTTTCATATCTCTTACTCCGCCATGCAGTTTATTCCTGCGAGGCAGCTCACAAATGCTTGTTACTGATCACAAAGGCAAGAGAGTGGGGATGACTGTGCCTTATCAGATACTACATCTCATTTGTCACATCTTAATAGACAAAGGACATGTTATTGCTGTTGCTTTCTAAACATTCTCAGTATGCTTTTGGTTATCCCACCAAGATTATAAGCTACTAAGACAATGTGTAGAAAAAGCACTAGGTTTAGTGTCCACAGCTTTGGTCATAGATTTAATTCTATGAAATTATTTAATATTTCTAAACTTCAGCTTCCTTTTAAAATGAGGATAATGATACCTACTTCACAAGATTGTTTAAGGATTAAATATTTTATGCCAATTCTCTGTAATAATCAGATAATTTATGCCAGTTCTCTCTAATAGGGCATTATACAAATGGAATTTATTGTGTTCTATTCTCCTCTCCATTCCCAACACCCCCTCCCCACCATAACAAAGTACTGCATAGAGGAGTCTCTACAGTGGGTATTTCCTAAGCAAGTTATTATCTGAAAACTATTAAATTCAGCATGTTGACCAGTTGGTCTATGACGGAGGCATACGAGGTGACCTCCCTGTAGGGCTGTTAAAAGCAGTGGATAATCATGTGTGTCCTCTTGCAATCTAGACACTGGACTGCGCTGTGGGTATAGTCAAATGACATCACTATGTAATCAGCTGGGTTGCCTAAGAATTTATGTTTTCCCATCCTAGTGCAGGTGGAGTAGTAGGTTGTCAAAACTAATTAAAGCTAGACTCTGCATTTTTCATGGGGTAATTGCTGAAGGACTGTGCCAAGGGACATGTGATGACTTCTGCACATAAGCTCTTGTTTTCTCAACTAGACCTATATATACTTGGAGTCAGAGAATTGGCTTTGTGGCGTAATCGTTCAGCTTCAGTGTTCTTGGCTGTAAAATGTGAATAATAACCTTTATTATTCATCATAGTACCAGATGAGACCACCCCTGAAGGAGCAGAAGGCATCTTCCATCCTAACCATTCAGGGACGTAGTTAGGGCTCACCCCAGGTCTAATGCTTGAAGCTCACAGTGTTTTTCCACCACAGCATTCTGCTTCCCAATATCTTAGAAAGAACATTGAACAGAAGGCAGAAAATAAATTGTGTAATTCTATGGCACTTAGTAGTTTTCCAGAGCACTTTCATTTCTGCTTCCCATATCAAGATAAGTATTATTATTCCTATCTTACTGAAGGGGAAGGGAAATTAAGACCCAACCAAGGTCACACAGCTAGTGAATGCATGAAGCAAGACTGAAATGAGTGGAATCCAGAATTCCTAGCTCCTGTTATTAGACTGTTGCTGCATCCCAAGGTCTGAGCATTCTGACAACTTGGAGGAAACTGTATGATGCATAGAAAGGGTACTGCATAATTATAGAATCAGTGAACCATATAGAACTAGAAGTCCCTGCCTTATTCCTAGATTTTCCTTTTTCGTGCTTTACGAGAAAGTTTACAGCTCAAGTTAATTTCTCATTAAAAAATTTATACACATATTGTTTTGTGACATTAGTGTTCCTAGATATTTTGAAAGTCCATTTCAATACATTTCCAGTTTACAGTATGCCTAGGTTGTTGTAGGTGCCGTCAAGTCAGTTCTGACTCATAGAGACCCTACGTACAACGGAACAAAACACTGCCCGGTCCTGCGCCATGCTCACAATTGTTGCTGTGTTTGAGCCCATTGTTGCAGCCACTGTGTCAATCCATCTGGTTGAGAGTCTTCCTCTTTTTCGCTGACCCATGGCAGAGCAACAACTGAGTATAGAGCACTTTCTGTTGGTGTCCTTTCTATCAGGCACGCTATATGGTGCTAGATTATGGGATAGAATTCCCACCGAGGGTCCAACCAGTTTTTCCTGCTTTCATCACAGAAGTAATAAATGCTTTTCAGAGGGATCTGATATTCCTGCTTGTTGGCAGTCTTCAACAAGTAGCCAACCTCTAGTGTAGAAAGATGTGAGAGTGGGCCAATTGCAATTCTACAGACTCTCTTTTTCCTCCTCCAGAATCTTCCCCAGGAGTGACAGAGGTAACCATCATAGAAAAGGCGCCTGCTGAACGTCATATGATTTCTTCATGGGAACAAGTAAGTACTGCTCTGTGGAGTTCTCAACTGCCAACAAGCAATGGTCGACTTAAATACCCCAGAGAAGGAAAAATTAGGACAGGAAACCTATTATCTCAGGCCACAGCTGCCCTCAAGTTAGAGTTCACCCTTCTCTCTGTTATTGTTCAGTCCATTTAATACTTCCTTCCATTCCATGACATTTCTCCAACATGTAGCATCTCCTTTAAGCCCCACTATTGTATGAAGGCAGTAGGACATTCGAAGTTGTATATAACAAAGCTAAAATTATAGCAAGGAAGGTAAAAGATATGCACTAATAAACATCATAGTGGGCAGAATATGTGTTACAGAGAAGTATTTACCAGATCAATAGCTAGTGCTTCCCAACCCTCCCCTGAACTTTCATTAATTTATTCAACAAAAGTTTTAAGTTCCTAGAATGGTCCAAGTGTTGTGCTTGGTGTTGAGCCCCAGGCATTCAGTGGTAATCCAAAAAAGGCACATTCTTTACCTCCTGACATTACTGTCTAAGACATAGCGCAGATCATTACAAATATAATTATAAACTGGGTTGAGTACTGTGAAAGAGGGGTAAAGGGAGCATGTCAGGAGGCCTGACCTAGTCTGGAGGATGAGAAAACTTTTTCTCAGAGAAGTTATGAGAAGATGCTAACCAGGCAGAAGAGGTCTGGGAGGAAGGGACTTTCAGTCTTCAAGATGGTAAGAATTATATTTTTACGAGAGTATAAACCAGGTCCCTGTGGCAGGAGCACAGGAGAGCAAACGAGGGAGGTCAATAAGGATCATTAGGGCTTCACAGGTCATCAGAATTTTGCTCTTTAACTTTGAATCAAAGGGGAACCATGGCAATGTTTTAAGTAGAGAACTGCCAAGGTTAGATTTCTGTGGCTGTTAAGTGGCAAATAGATTTGAGTGGAAGCAAGAAATTACCCTGCCATTCAATGAGTGCCTGCTAAAATGTATCAAATAATTTATTTCATTTAATCCTCATAGTAACAAGGTAGGAATTGCTATTTCTATTTTATAGATAAAGAAACCGAGGCTCAGAGAGGTTAAAGAATTTGCTCTGGGTCACATAGCTGCCAGGTAGCAGAGTCTGAATTTGAACTCAGAACTGCCTGTCTCTAATCACATGCCTTTCCTCTCCACCATGCCACCCTTCTAATGGAGGACAACACTGAGGCAGTCTTGCCCTCAGCAGCCAGCCCATGCAAGTGTGTGCATGTTAGTCCCTGCCGCCATGACTCACCCTCCCTGGGCTGGGTCAGCAGCCTCTCTGGAAGCTCAGTAAACAGTAGTTGAGATTTCTCTCCAGAACCTTGGCTCAGCAGCGTTTTTCTCATGGGCTTACTTCCGCCCCTACCCTCATTTCCACTCACAGCCTATAATAGCAAAAGGGATTTCCAGAAAAGTGTCTATTTGTTGAACTCTCGTTGGCTGATCCAATTAGAGCCTGCTCCTCGTGCTACTGTGGTTATGCCAGTCTGGCGTTGTTGACATTATCAGGAGTAACACCAAAAGAAAAGACATAGTTGAGGACATCCCTCCTGATCTTTTACAGGCTTAGGTCAGCCCTTTGGGGAGAACACTCTCAGGACTCTTTTGCGAGAGTGAGCTCCTGGTATTTTCCTGTCTGTTATAGAGAGAGTACTCCTGGCTTGAAAATCCAAGTCATAGACCTGGGTGGGAGGGTGGGAGGACAGGAATGCCTTATCTGGGGTAGGACACCATTAAGGCTGTGTCATATTATGGAACTTACTTAATGAAGTAGTTTCTGAGGCATATTCTTCCTTTATGTCTTGTACTAGATATTCTCCAGAACTTTTTAAGAAGACTTAAACCATTTGCCCCCTTTTTATTATACTGTAGTTTATTTATTGTGAGCATGCCTTCCATAGCTGCTTGTCAGGGCTAGGGCCTGCATCTGATTAAGGTCTAGTAGACCTAGAGATCTAGACAATGTAACATTGGGATCTCCTTCAGATTAGATATGGGGGGATCCTCGTGGTACAGTGGTTAAAGCACTTGGCTGCTAACCGAAAGGTTGGCGGTTTGAACCTACTAGCCGCTCTGTGGGAGAAAGATGTTGAAGTCTGCTTCCATAAAGATTTACAGCCTTGGAAACCCTATGGGGCAGTTCTACTCTGTCCTGTAGGGTTGCTATGAGTCGAAATCTACTCGATGCCAGTGGGTTTTTAGTCAGATTAGATGGACACTCGGAGAATGCAGTTATAGAGCTGGATAAATAGCCATTGGAGGTCTGAAAAGATTAAGGGGTAAGCATGAACGAAGAGAAAATTTTAAGTATCTGAGACAGTTAATGGGACATTTTCTTCAGATATACTCAATTAGGGGAGTTTCTGTGAAAACACCCAGAATATAAGATACACTGATTTGGAATTTTCCATTGAGTCCTTCACTTGAAATGTCTCAGACTCCAAGTACAGTAAAATATGCCAACTCTAAAGTGCAAACAGTGTTAGGATCAGTAATGTAAAAATATTTTTTTCACCTGAGCAAGTGGCATGTCGGGGCTTTTCGAAGGCCTGTAAGATACTTGAATGCTAATATACAAACACAGAAGATAGAGGGAGTTTTTATATAACTTCTTTTTCTGGTGATGCTAAATAAAACATGGTCATCATAGAAAATTTTGAAAATACAAAAAAGGATTTAAAAAAAAACCTCCCTTAGGATTTCACCACCTAGAGATAACCACTATTAATACTTTCCTATATTATTTTGGTTGTGTATGTGGGTAGAGTGGGCAGTGGGTAGTGGTCCAGGGGTCCCCTAAGGGTCCATGAATGGGTAGTGTTCCATGGACTTCTTGAAATATATGTGAAATATATTAGGTATTGTCTTAGTTATCTAGTGCTGCCATAACAGAAATACCACAAGTGGGTGGTTTTAACAAAAAGAGACTTATTTTCTCTCAGTTTAGGAGGCTAGAGGTTCAAATTCAGGGTGCCAGCTCTAGGGGAAGGCTTTCTATCTCTATCAGCTCTGGAGGAAGCTCCTTGTCTCTTTGAGCTTCTGCTCCTGGGCGAGCTTCATGTGGCTTGGCATCTGTCTTACCCCATCTCGACTTTGCTTTGCTCCTTTGTTTAATCTCTTTTATATCTCAAAAGAGATCGGCTCAAGACACACCCTACACTAATCCTGTCTGATTAACATAACAAAGCCAACCCATTCCCAAATGGGATTATAGCCACAGGCATAGAGGTTAGGATTTACAACACATATTTTTAGGGACATAAGTCAATGCATAACAGTATGTACCTTTTTCTGGGGAGAGATTTCTTATCTTCAGATTTTCAAAGGGGTCCATAACCCCAAAAAAGCTAAAGAACAGGTTTTTTTAATTTTTTATTGTCCTTCAGGTGAAGGTTTACAGAACAAATAGTTTCTCATTGAACAGTAGTACACGTATTGTTTTATGACATTGGTTAACAACCCCATGACATGTCAACCCTCTCCCTTCTCGACA